CCCCCCCCCCCCCCCCCCCGCCAATCTGCCGGAACCCCCCACCCCCTGCTCTCGCCTGTCGGTATACGCTCGGGTTGGGCCCCCTGATCGTAAAGTCCGGGGTCCGCTTGTCCACGCAGCGGGTGATCTTGTCCAGCCGCTTTCCTCCGGCAATGGTCTCGTAGTAGTCGCTGGGGACAGTCTCTCCGTCGATGTAGGCCTTGTAGCCATGCCGGGGCTCGCACTTGTAGGCATCCCCCTCCACGCTGCACCTGGTATGTGTATGCGAGTGTGGGGTGGAAGGGGATGTGCTTGTTTTGTGCTGGGGTGCCTTGGGATAGGGGGGGGATGGGCTGGCAGCGGTTTTATCGCGGGACTTCACCGCGGTCATCATCAGCATGGACGAATGGCAGGAGTTTTTGACGACAACAACTACGACAGCAACGAGGACGATACCATCAACAACAACACCGTACATCTACAACGACACCAACACGTACAACGACGACGACAATGCCACCACCAGCAATCGGCAGCAACAACAACGACAACAACACCACACCACCATCAACAGCAACAACGGCAACGCCGCCACCACCACCACCGCCACCACCACCACCACCAACAACAACACCGACAAACAACACCAGCACCGACAAACAACACCAGCACCAGCACCACCAACAACAGCTAGGACAGCGAACACAACCTCACCTGCAGTGGTAGGGGCAGGTGTTGTTCCTGCAGGGGTTCTCGAACTTCCTCACGTCCCGCACGCAGTCCCCCCTCTCGTCCTTCTTGAAGCCGTCCTTGCACCTGCACTCGTAGCCCTTGTACCCCTGCCCGGCTGAGCACAGCGACGTGCTGTCGTCGCACGTGTTGCCCTGCACACGGAGAACAGCAGACAAAGTCGCACAGGTCGGTTGTCGGCATCCTTTTTTCGCGCAAACGTACACGTTCCCCTTAGGCCGCGCGGGGTCCGCAGCACGCTTAATAAATCGAGGGTACTTGACACTTGTTCTAGAACGATGCCCCCAAGCCCAGACCAAGGCTCAAAACATTTGTCAAGGGTTGTCTGGGAATGCGCGACAGCAGTGGCACGCGGGAAGAAAACTAGACGAGACTTCGTCAGGCACATGGCTCTGCAGCAGCAGATCAGAACAACGCACTGTCCGCACGACTCTTGAGCACAACAAAGAGGACACCATTCCCCGGTCTCGCTCTCTTCATGATTAGCATACCAAAACCACCTCTTCTCGTGAGCGAAAAGATATAACTGCCGCGATACCGCCAATTGTACGTGTATGCGTAGCCCTCGTCAAACCTTGCAGGGGTCGTTGGTGCACTTGAAGTCTTCCACGCAAGCGGCCCTCCGCTCCTTCATGTACCCGAACGTGCCACAGCACGACTCCGTGGAGTTCTCCCCCCCGCACGCGCCGTCCTCGCTCTTGATGGGCTTGTCGAGGGAGGGTGACCCGCTCTCTTCCTCGCCCCAGTACCCGGCCGCACACCTGCCAAAAAAAAACAAACAACAAGCACCAAAAATACCTCGTTTCGGTTTTGACCCTCGCTGCTGGAACCCATGGTGTGCTGTCATAGAGGTAGGTATTGCTCGCTCAACCTGGGTCTTCAATTTCATAATTATACCCTTGTGGTCCACCAAATACCGCCGTCTTCGACTTACAAAAAAAACTGAGTCACCCCCGATGCAGAAAAACGCCAATCCCACCACGGCCGACACACTCGTGAAACTGCTGTGTACATACGGACACTGCTCATACCAGGAGAGGTGGTACAGTATGTATCAGGCGCCAAAGATCGTATCTACAAGAAAACGGTCGGACGAAGAAAACAGAGCGAGAAGGGCCCCTCGGTGGTGGTGTTTCCGAGCGCCAAAAACGCCTTTTCTCTCTCTCTCTCTCTCTCTCACTGCAAATCGAAGGTTAAGGTGAGCGCTAGGTCACATCTCACGCCACCACCATTCGTGTTGGGGCACACGGCCGCGGCGTGAGAATGATGCACCGCGCACGAGGAGAATAATGTGGGAGCCTGGTCCGGTGAGAACCCGGCGTGCTCCGTCCCGGCGTTGCAGGGACGCGAGGTAAATGGCCGAACGACTACGGCATGCACGACTATGAGTACCCCCCCCCCCCCCCCCCCCCCCCCCCCCCCTCTCTCCCCCCTTGGGGGCCCCCCCT